TCTACCGTGTTGCAGACTTTCTGACATAATTCAATATCAACAAGGAAGTTAAACTTTCTATGTCAGCTATTATGAAATCTATTTGAAGTTTTGTTTCAGGATCATTTGTTGTGTTTTTCACAACCTCCTAATTCGCACACACTCCAAGGTAATTTTCAGAATACAAATCCAGTACTTCTGCATAAAATACAACTTGTTGGAGAGAAGATACTGATGTTTAGTGACATACTAATCACTTCATATATCATGTCCTGAAATAGAGCATTTTATGCCTATCATGCCATAACAGTGAATACACAATAAAACTTAGTTCTTGTATAAGTTTCTTTCAGTTTCATTTTGATTGCTCCAATTGATAATAATGTTAGTAGCAATGAGAGTTGCTCATCCTCACATTTAGATGCAATATATCTTTATTATTGATATGATTACCTCCATCTATAGGTGACAGCTTTCCTTCTAGCTCGGGTTGCTTGACCCCTCTCCACCCTGCCCTGCCTCTTTCTACACCTGCTCTGCATCTTTATACTCCTTCCCCCAAACTCCCAACTCCCCTTAGCATGCTATGTTCCTGCTCTTCCCTCCTGGAACATCTCAAACACTACAAAACAGCTCTGGAATGGTAGGTGCTGGTATGGAGCAGGAGGAGTTGGTCAGCAGGGCCTTAGAGGACAAGAGGCACTGGGGGTAGGGCAGTATCTTACTACTGGTGGGTGCTGATCACCTGCTAATTTTTCCTTGTGGGTGCTCCAGTCCCAGAGCACCCAGGGAGTTGGGGCCTATGCCTCCAGCAATGTGTAGGCTACATTGTGCAATCCAATGAACTCTTTATGAACATTCATGTTATGTTAATCAGTCATATTGCAGCTATAAAACCACTTGTTCTGGATTAATAGCTGTTATTTATCTATGATAAAATTCCAGAAATCTTAAAATTGTAAGAGGCATGATGTCCATTATCAAATTCTGAATAAGTGAACTTGTGAATTTGTTTAGACTCCTTTTTAGCCACTTTGAAATATCAGGATCAAACAAAACAGTGAAAAAAGCAGGTAAAAATGTTCACTCTACTTGTTTAAAAGTGAAGTTTTAGTTTATTCAATATGATGGACTTACAGTGCAAGTCTTCCTTATATAAGTCAACATCAGTGTTCCCTCTAACCTGCATGGTAGCAGGTGATTAATCAGCCCCACCTGGTCAGTCAGATCTGTGTAGAGCCCACAGTCTCTGACTGGGTGGGGCTGAACCTGTGAAGTTGTGCTGCTGCGCAGTTTAGAAGGAACACTGGTCAACACTTAATATTTTTGTTCGGGTTTCCTATTTTAATCTTTTTGAGAAAATTGAACTCATATAGCAACATTTTTTGTGGCTTTTTAAAGAATATGAACAACTTCATTATAGATATTTTTCTTTCATATTTGTCTCAACCCTTTTTCCGATTGGAGAATCTGGATAGTGTGTGCAAGCAGGGTGTGAATCAATGCTTCCATTACAGCCAGCTGGAATGGGAAAGAAATCCTGGGCGTGTTTACCACTTAGCTGTGTTAGATATTAGGCTGTCACAATGGTGTTTTGCTCATTGTAATCACCTTGCCTGGTGTTGGATCACAAAATATGTTAACATTAATTGCAATATCTGTAAGTATTGGGGGAATTCAAAAGAAAGTCTGTGCTTAACCTGGCACAAACTCTCAGTTTAAAGAATGTGATTCTGAGCATGCACATACATGTAAATACAGTTCACTCAATTTGCTTAGGCCTGCTAGCTATTCAACTGTTACAACGTTGTTTTGCCCATTGTAACCAATCTGGCTGTTGTGGGGTCACAATTTGTGTTTATACTAACTACAGGAATTGTGAGATATGATCACCAATGCTTGCAGTTGTTATGGGAATGCAGAAAAGTTAGACTGTGTTTAACTCAGTTCAAATGGAGAAACCTGGTCAGTGTAAATACACTTGGATGGACAGAGGTTCCCATCCCAGAGTCCTAAAAGATTAAGCTGGGAAGAGGAGGACTCCACGTTAGCAAGCTACATGGCCTCCAGGAATGAGCTGTAAGACTAGTTCAACCTGTTTCTCCCCACTATTTCAATGACAGAATTAAAGAAAGGTTCCATAGTATTTGCATTTACTACAGTGGATACTGGAATCTCTTGTGGCTGGACTGTGCTTTGGGCCAAGAGCTGAAATCACTGAGAGCTGAAATCACTAGATTTAGCCTAGAGCCAAATCCACCACATGCCAACAGAAGATGTGACAAGCAGTCAGCGAGGCAGTGATGGAGAGGTGTGATGAGCAGCCAGCAGAGCAGGAGCAGTGAGGGGCAACGAATGGCCAGCAGCGTGGTGTCAGAGAGAAGCGGGCAGGTGGATGGAGAGTGACCAGCAGCGTGAGTAAGATGCCTTCTACCTCCTTTCCACTTAGTATGGGAGGTGAACTCTGCAGATGTACCTCTGAGCTCTGGGTCTGCCCTGACTAAGGGCAGCAACTGTGAGTGAGGTGTAGAGAAGGGTTAGATGTGTGAAGGGGACATTTACATTGCTGGACTTAACAACCTGAGAGGAAAAGAACATTGCCCAACTTATTTGGGCTGGGACGTTTACTCATGGCTTTGGTTATGAACTCTGTTTGTGGTGTTTTCCCAGATCAATGCCACGTTACTTCCCTACCCTTTTATTAAAGGTTTCTTTTCTATACTCAGACTCTGTGCTTGTAAGCAAGTGGGGAAGCATTGCCTTTCAGAAGCGCCGAGAGGTGTTGTATGAATTTCCCAGGTTACTGGGTGGGGGCTGGAGCTAGTTCTGTGTTGGTTGGATGGAGAGGAATCCCTAGATCTGTGGTCACCAACCAGTAGATCATGAGGTACCAGTAGATCTCAGGGGCTCTAAGAGTAGCTCTTGAGCCCTCTCTGAACTGTGTACCTGCGCAGTACATTTACATTAGATTTCCTCATTTGAGGAGCAGCTACTCACTGAGCAACAACACAGGTGAGCAGATGCGAGGAATGGTGGGAGCTGGGAGGTTGGGAGGGCTGAAACACCCCAGCCAGCTGACTGTGGCTTTCACAGCTGGAGCTAGGCGCACCCGCCCTGGGCAGCCGGGCTGGAGGGAAGAGAAGCAGCTGCCCAGCCAGCTGGCCATGGCGCTCAGCCAGGGTGCACCACGCTCTATGTGGGCTGGCGCAGAGGAGAAGCTGTCTGGCCTGCTGGCTGTGGCGTTCAGCCCAGTGGAGGCTGAACCACGCTCCAGCTGATTGGGCGGCTTCCCCTCTGCGCCTGCCCACGTGGAGCTTGGTGGCACCCTGTCCGAGCACCACGGCCAGC